TGCCTTTAACTCATCTGAAAGGTTCACAGGGAAATTGCTGCATGCCTGAGGAAACATGTTGCCATTGAAGTTGATCAGAATTGTAGTTCATAGCAGAAGCAAAAATAAAGGGTGACATTTCAGGAGCTGTGTGGTAGGAGATACTTCAGTGAACGGAAGTGGGTGGGTGGGCGACAATGTGCCAAGCAACGCAAGTACGTTGAAGAATCAGTCAATGAAACACTGAGATGATAGGATGCTGAGTTCTGCCAATCAGTGGCAAATTTGTAGAATTCTTCCTTTCAGTTACATGGTCGGAGATCCAGGGCAAAAGCTAGTTTCCTTCACCACTATGGAAATAAGTAATTCTTACCATAGAATCATAGAATTGGAAGAGGCCACATGGACCTTGCAGTCCAACTCCCTGCCATACAGGAAAAACATAGTCAAAGCACACCTGACAGATGTCCATCCAGCCATCCAAGGAAGGAGCTTCCACCACACCTCAAAGTAGAGCGTTCCACTGCTGAACAACTTTCATGGTCAGGAAGTTCTTCCTAATGTTCAAGTGGAAGTTCCTTTCCTGCAATTTAAACCCATTGCTCTGAGTCCTAAACTCCAGGGCAGCGGAAAACAAGCCTGCTCCCTTTTCCTTATGACATCCCTTCAGATATTTAAACATGGTGATCATGTCTCCCCTCAAACTTCATTTCTGCAGGCTAAGCTGCTTTGGGTCCCCCTTGGGGAGCTAATAAATAAATAAATAAATAATTTATTAGCTCCCTAAAGGGTATTAATAAAATAATAATAATAATAATAATAATAATAATAATAATAATAATAATAAACATCCTCAGCTCTTGAAGTCATTTCTCATAGGGCAGTGGTTCCCATCCTGTGATCTATGGACCACCAGTGGTCCAAAAAAACTACAATATGGTCCTCTGCCTCACCATTACTACACCGTTGCAACGAGAAGGACTGGTCTCGTGAAACCCTCTTATAGTGCCTAGGCTTATTAAATATGGTTTTCTGTGGGTGAGCAGGTAGCAACTACTGGATGGCATATGTTCTGTATCGGAAACTAGAGGTGATGTGGTCTATCAAAAGCAATTTTTGGAATCAGCACCCCCAAATAACCAAACCAAATCTAAAGTTGGCAAAAAACTGATTTGTGTCCCTTTTGGAACTAATGTTGGAGAATGCTCCCTGGTCAAGTGGTCCCTGGCAAAAAAAAAAAAAAAAAAAAGGTTGGGAACCACTGTCATAGGGCATGGTCTCCAGACCTTTGATCATTTTAGTTGCCCTCCTCTGGACACCTTCCAGCTTGTCAATATCTCCTTTGAACTGTAGTGCCCAGAATTAGACACAGTATTCCAGGTGAGGCCTGACCAAGGCAGAATAGAGGGTCACCATTACTTTCCTCAATCTAGACACTATACTCTAGACATTGTACTCCTTTTGATGCAGCCCAAAATCCCATTCGTTTTTAAAGCTGTTGTATCACACTGTTGGCTCACGTTCACCTTGTGATCCACTAATTCTCCAAGATCTTTTTCACATGTACTATTGTTGAGCCAGGCCTTCACCCATTCTGTATCTGTGCATTTCATATTTTCTGCCCTAAGTGAAGTATCCTACACTTCTCATTGTTGAAATGCATTTTGTTGGTTTTGGCCTATTTACCTGATCTGTTGAGGTCCATTTGAATTCTGATCCTGTCTTCTGGCATATTAGCTATCCCTCCCCAATTTGGTATCATCCTCGAACTTGATAAGCATGCCCTCTAAGCCTTCATTTAAGTCATTAATAAAGATGTTGAACAGCACTGTTAAATGTTAAAGTCCCAAGAAAACAGCCAATTATGACAGAAAAGGCAGGGGAGAAGCAAGCAGAAAAACTGCTTGGCTTTGTAAACTGATTTAAAATTAAGCAACATGCACAGTCCTTTCAAAATTGATGTTATTTGGTTCTTCCTTGCTGTAGCAGATAATGTCATGGATTCTGCATTCGACACCACCTGAAGCTTCCAAGTCACCTGTGTGATATCTTACAGGCAAATCTTTCTCCGGTTCTGTGATTCTGTGAACTTTGTTCTAAATTTGAGCAAATCTTTGAAAGAGAAAGAGTTCAAGCCAGAAAATGGAATGTTTTTGCAAGTTACATCTACAGGTCAGAGGTTGAAAGGTGACTGGCAAGATGCTTATTCCATGCATTAATCTAACACAAATACTTCCTGAAATATGAAATGCTTTGATCTGCATAAGCATGCACCATATGTGTGCAGCTGTGATCCACATCTTTCAACCACTGGAAGTTTAGCAGAAGGTAGTGTATGGTTCTTCCGTCTGTGTTCAATTTCTGCTTTTATATTTAGCAGTTCATAATTTTATGTAACACTATAGCAGTTATGAAAAATATGCACAAGGACTGAGTGATAACAGATTTTTTGGTAGTTTGATTCCATGTTGTTTGAGCTGATTCAGAATACCAAGGGCTGTAGGATGGATTAAAAATGCTATTTAATTAAGGCTGTGTGCATTTTAAAATACCTGAGGCCACATTAAAAATCTGGGAGGACCTCTGAAACCTGAGGTTCCATTGAGTTCCTATAAATTAAATGCTTCTGCAGTTGTGTCACAGACTTACTGCCACAAAAATACAAGAGAAACTGGGAATAACCTTTTTATGGCTGGAGTGCAAGAGACTTTAGTGCCTTGTGGTTGATTCTGTGCTTGGAAAGCATTTCCTTGGGGGTAGGGAAGGTGGGCTGTTTGTAGAGTAAAGAGTAAAACTATACTGTTGGTTGTCAGAAAGTTGCTGATAGGCCAAAGTTTAAAATAATTCACCTTAAATTACAATTATGAATATATCTTCAGCAATATTTCTATAATATCTTTCAAGTACTGGGTTAGGCTAAAGTTTTGGAAGACTTCCTCAGGGTAGATGCTGGCGTTTCCGTGCTAAGAATGTATGCCATGGAAAGTTGGCATCATGACCGATCCAATGTTGAACATGGCAACCTCACATTGAATGGATTCCCATTCTCTCGCATACGCAAATCTATCTGGACTGATTTCCCCTTTTGTTTCATCACATGTCTCCACTCTGCACAAAATAACCAAAAGTGAGGATATGGAGATGTTATGGCCCATGTAAAGCTGGTTATACAGTGTAGATTAGTGGTTCCCAACCTTTTTTTGACCAGGGACTATTATTTGAACAGATAATAAATATCTATTGTAGGCTTATATTGAGGTAAAAAACAAACAAACATTATTTACAGGTTTGTTCACATTACATTTTTTAATTTTTTCTCCCACCTCCTCTCACCTCTCTTCCCTACCCCTCCCACCACATTTGCCTCTATATCTTTATATTTAACCACGAACACAACCTTCTTAATCTTGATACAATATCTATGCTGGCTTCACCTTCTTCTACCCGTTTCATATAAATTGCCCGTTTTGCTTTAATTATGTTTGTTTTGTTTTCCTGTTAACCTTCTTGGGTTATACATGTAATAATATCTGATTGGACTTGCTCAAATAGATAGTTATTCCAATTTTCCAAATCCCATCTTTTTTCATCTCTCCATCCCCAGGCTATTATCACCTTTCCTGGTAGAATCATTGCTTTAAAAAGATCTTGGCTCTTCGCAGCAATGCTTTTATTCCCTATAATTGCCATTAATATAAGTTCCACATTGACTTGGGTTGTTATTTTGAATAGTTTCCTCATTTTTAAAATTATCTTATCCCAAAAAGTTGTTGCATTTAAACAGTCCTACTACATATGTGCATACCAGCCTTTCTCTACTTTACAATGCCAACACATTGAGCTTACTCCTCTTCCTATATTTGCTAGTTAAGCTGCTCTCCTATACCATTTCCCGATAAATTTGACCAGTGATCACCTTCCGACATTAGTACCAAAAGGGTTACGAATCAGTTTTGGTGAACTTTAGATTCAGTTTGGTTATTTGGGGTGCTGCTTCAGAAAACTGCATTGTATAGACCATGTCAGCTCTAGTTTCTGATACAGAACATATGCCATCCAGTAGTCGCCATCTGCTCGCCTACAGAAAACATATTTCATAAGCCTCAACAGTGTAAGAGGGTTTTGCAAGACCAATTGCTCTCATTGCAGTGGTGTAGTAATGGTGAAGCCGTAGACCATATTTTAGTTCGTGTGGACCACAAGTGGTCCACAGGCCACAAGTTGGAAACCACTGGTATAGATGGAAGAACTTAACATAGAGCTGCTACTTTGGGTATCAGTCATATTTTGCTCCACGCTAACAATACTTCATGCTTAAACCTTTTCTCCTTCCACAGAGATCAGTTTCCATGTAGTTGTGAGTTAGTTTAGACAAACTGGTCATCTGTGTGCTTTCACTAGAACATAATATCCTGCAACACATTTGTAAGAAAATACTTTTTTCCAAAGTGGAGCGTATTCTCCACTTTGGAAAAAGTGATGTGTGGCAAGGCAATAAAATCGAGCTGGAAGAGTCTGACCCTGCAATCAGATTTATCTTTGTGAATAATTTGGTGGAACAAACATGGGAAGAGTCACACTGTGTCATAGTAATGGTGTCTTTAGCCCAGAATCCGCTCTTTGTTCAGTGACAAGATCTGGATGCTTCCATCAGCACAATTCACAAAGAACAGGCGCTCCCAGCTTCCAACAGCAAACGGCGTACAAACAACCTTTATGAGACACGGCCTGAGCTTTCAGCCTCACAGCCATTGATATGCTTATCTTAAATTCATCTGCTCTGTCCTTTTTGGAGCTCCGTTTAGCTTTTGGCCACTGTTCTTTCTGTAAATGAGCTGTTGAATATCCAACCTTGGCGTCCTAATTCCAGAGCTGTGGAACACATGGCTATTTTCATTCATTCCTGAATGCGTTTCTGTAGGCATGTTATTCTAAAATAATTTATTTTCAGTATAATGGTTTTGGTTTGGATCTCACTCTCATTTCTTTCCTTTGCATTTTGTTGTTGTTTTTTTAACAAGCTTCTGCTGGGTATGGCAGGCTCTACGGATGAAACGCTTCAGGAAGCAGCAGCTGGTTGCATAGCAAACATCCGCAGGCTGGCTCTCGCTACAGAGAAGGCAAAGTACGGCTGAAACTCCACGCAGTTTGTACCAGCTCCTAAGAGGCTTTCTCTTTCATAGGGTCCCGTGCTAGTTCAGAGGGGTCAAACTCTGAACCGAAATGCTGCAGAGATATTTTAAGCATTGCAACATTTTTACAGGTAATGTATACCTGTCGAAAAGTAATAACAATAGAAGTGCGAGTTAACCAAAGAGTACATTTTACATTTATTTTACTCATACATTTACGGGTGTATTTTAAAAGGATCAATATTTACCTCATTGAAAGCTTTAGCTGTGAATACTCAAAAGAAGCAACATTGCAACTTTAACAACTTGGCATTTCCATGTCCTCCTGAAATACATTTTTGTATGTTAAAGGCATATAATAAATCTATTTTCCATTACTGTGTGTGGTTGCACTATCCTTCCTGAGTGTCTTGAGTAATTCTCTTCTTGTTGAACCTGTCTAATCATTCTGTCATTGTGGTTTTGCGTGTTTGACTACTTACCAATCTCCAGAGAGGACTGCATACATGCACTGGTTTCACATCTGGAACAATGATGTGCAATAGTACGACTTCAAACAGATGGAATTGTCCACAGGCTTCCAAGACATTTCACCAAGTTTCTCTTTTGAACTGTCAGCACCAAGGAAATCATTTCATTAGATTAGAAACAAATAAAGGACTGATTAAAATATCAACTCCTGTATCTTGCAGCCAGATATATGAGCTGACTATCAGACAACTAAATGATATCTTTATCTTCATTAGAACTTTTGCATGCAAGTTCTTGCTTTTTAGTCAGAGTATCTAAACTCTGCTCAATCCTTTTACTAGTGCAACAGCCACAGCTTTCCTCAAAAAGACCTGGCACTTGTTTGCAGCGGGTGCTTACTCCCTTTAGATTGTATTATCTAAAGGGAGTAAAAATCAACAGGCAATGAGTGCGAGGTTCATAGATCCGTTTCAATACTTGGTTATCTAGTAGGTGTATTTATTGTACATAGGTGCTAGCTCAGGCATGCGCAAACTTGGGCCCTCCAGGTGTTTTGGACTTCAACTCCTACAATTCCTTCAGGCCACTTCCTTTTCCCCTTCAGCTCCTTAAGTGGAAAAGGAGAAGAAAAGTGAAAAGGAAGAGGCCCAAGGCTGTTAGGAATTGTGGAAGTTGAAGTCCAAAACAACTGGAGGGCCCAAGTTTGTCCATGCCACTATAGAGCCAACTTTGTAAATAGTTGTAGAGTCTCACTTATCCGACATAAATGGGCCAGCAGAACATTGGATAAATGAAAATGTTGGATAATACAGAATTGCCTACTGTTACCCATCCGATGCAGCACTAGACACCTAAAATACTAACAACAGGGACTCAAAGGGCTAAGACAAGGTAATGCATCGGGGCTAGACAGACCCAGCGGGAAGTACCTGGATGCGGAAGAGGAGCATGGAAATCACAGAGGGAAGGAGGGAGGATGCTTCCGCTTCCAGTCCGGCCTCTTTTCCCCCTTACCTCCCTCCTCCTCCTCCTCGTCTTACCTTTTTCACTTATTGGGAATGGAGTGAGAGTTGGGGAGCACTCCTTTAATTGAAAGAAAATGCTGGAGGAAAAGGGGGGTGTTGGATTAAGTGTCAGATAAGACAGAATGTCAGATAAGCAAAGGTCGGATAAGTGAAACTCTACTATTAAAATATCAGTACAGTAATATGATTGGCAGAATTCTATAAGATCATTTTGTACTATGTGATGTTGTCGTTGGGATTGGGAGCTAAGCGTATAGGGATCATAAATACTTAGCTGCTATGAATTCTGTAGGTTACATACTTGTAAACTGCCCAATGGGATTCTGCCAAATATTTATTGCATGTCTATATGAAAGCAGTTGGCGCAAAATAATCTATATTTTCCCAAGTTTCAAAAAGAGAGACTTTTTTTCTCTCGTAGCCAGAATACATAACCCTTTGACTGAGCAATGCGTATGTGGAAAGACTTGGGATTCATTACCGCTCAGAATTTTCCACTTTGCTGTCAAGAAACACCTATGCAATCCAATCTGCTAAGATCCATATATTTGGAAAATATACCAAAATTACATGAATAAAATCAAAACAATATATTGTTCAAAGGGTCAAGGTAACATATTGAAATACTTCTTTGCAGAGAATATTATTTCACTGCCCCAAAGCATGTGGCTTGATGTGTTCATAGTGTCTGTCAGAAGGATTAATAATTACTTTAAAGAGAGCAGCTCTTACAGCTCTTTTTTACACCATGTTTACCTGCCTTGACTCTTTTGCCTTACATTTGCTTCTTTGTGTTCCTTATTTTTGTATCTCTCAATTCTCTTGGGCTGCAATTAAACTATTAATCTCCCTAGAGTAGAGCTGTTGAAAAAAAAAGGAATTTCCATAGGAATTTCCAACTTACCAAGTTCTTTCACTATCTCTTGAACTATTTCTTCACCACGATCTCTTGAATCAATTTTTACTTATTTTACTGAATTTCTATGCCTGGTATGGAAATAACACCTCCGAAGGCAGGGATGTGTCATCTCATCCAAATGCTAATCCAAAATATTCATGATGCTTTAATAAAAACCTACATCTTCTCACTCCTTCTTAGAATGGCCTTACCAATAAAATGGAAGAGAAACATCCCATTTTTTTAACCACTAGAAAGCATTTTTTTAAATCTGAGGCACAAAACATATATTGGATCAGCAGTGTTATCTGGTTATTTTTAATTCCTTTCCCAAAATTAATTTATAGATTGGGGGTTGGGTTGGTGGGCAGAATATGGCTTGTAGAACCCAAGATTGGTTTTGTGGTTCTCCAGCATGCCTCCCAATGTTGCCAAACAGTATGGAGGGCACTGGGTAGCATTTATGGAGGTCAAAAAACATTTTTTGCAATTTTTAAAAATAATATATTGTTCCAAAATGTCCATTACAGTGCAAGGGGTACATTTCAATCCTATTTGTGGCCTTGAGCCAATGTAGGTCTATAAGAGGACTTTTTTGGATCCGGATTTGCACTTCCTAGTGGTAGAAAGGCTTCTCCTGGGTTTAAAATGCGGGTTATAGTCTATTTTCTTTTTGGCAGGAGCAGGTGCTGTAGAGAAGTATGCCCTCAAAATAAATCTAATGACTTAGATGAAGGTTTAGAAAGCATGGTGAAGTTTGCAGATGACATCAAATTGGGAGGGATAGCTAATACCCCAGAAAACAGGAGCAGAATTCAGAATAATATTAACACATTAGCGAGATGGCCCAAAACTAACAAAATGAAATTCAACAGGGACAAATGAAGGATACTCCACTTACGCAGAAAAAATTAAATGCAAAGATACAGAATGGGGGACGCCTGGCTCAACAGCAGAAAAAGATCTTGGAGTCCTTGTGGACGACAAGTTAAACATGAGCCAACAATGTCAGGTGGCAGCTTTAAAAACCAATGGGATTTTGGCCTGCATAAATAGAAGTATAGTGTCTAGATCCAGGGAAGTCATGCTACCCCTATATTCAGCCTTAGTCAGACCACACCTGGAATACTGTGTTTAATTCTGGGCATCACAATTGAAGGGAGATGTTAACAAGCTGGAATGTGTCCAGAGGAGGGTGGCTAAAACGATCAAGGGTCTGGAGAACAAGCCCTATGAGTTGTTTAAAGAGCTGGCCATGTTTAGCCTGCAGAAGAGAAGGCTAAGAGGAGACATGAGGGTCATGTATAAATATATGAGGGGAAGTCATAAGGAGGAGGGAGCAAGCTTGTTTTCTGCTGCCCTGGAGACTAGGACATGGAACAATGACTTCAAACTTCAAGAAAGGAGATTCTACCTGAACATTAGGAAGAACTTCCTGTGAGAGCTGTTCAGGAGTGGAACTCTCTGCCCAAGAGTGTGGTGGAGGCTCCTTCTTTGGAGGCTTTTAAACAGAGGCTGGATGGCCATCTATCAGGGGTGCTTTAAATGTGATTTTCCTGCTTCTTGGCAGGAGGTTGGACTGGATCACTCAGGAGGACTCCTCCAACTCAATGATTCTATGATTGTATGAAATTTCTTGGGAGAATGCAGCCCCCATCTTGCTGGCATCCCACAGTTGCCCACCCTGCTCTGGATGGTGGGTTGGCATCATGTGTCTAACTCTCAGGGCTAAACCTTTCCAAATGCACTGGATATTTTCCCCAATATGTTCTTCCCCCAGTGTAAATCAACGCAACTCCAGTAGATGTCAAAACCGCTATGCTAGTCTTTCATTACAACGTTCAAGGGGAAAATATCTTTACCATTCATAAAACCATTCTCTTAGGGAAATACAATAGCACTCCAGGAAGAGCGTTAACAGAGAGGGCCTTTCCTGCTTTGAACTGAGGAGAAGGACTCTAGCTTTCATTGCTAATGTCTATCAGTCTGCCGACAAGAATGCCTTTCTTTTATCACTTCCTGCTTCGTATGATTTATTACCTGGTGAAAGATCGTCATGATCAACTAATCAGTAGTCCCAGGATGCACAAATAGGCAATGAAATGTGAGTGTTATATTCATTTCCGCTTGACGTTCAAGCATGTGAAAATGTAAGTTATGGCCCACTTATGCACTGTTTTATCTTTCATATGTGAAGGAGAGGTCAGATGCATATACAGCCATACCATGTTAACATTGCTTTCTTGTTTCATTTTGTCCCTGAGGTTGTAGTCATTGAAAGGTGGTTGTCAGATCAAGGTTCTCAGAATTTTCTACTACTTTGAAAACTAAATTAAAATGATAGTTTTCTCTTGTAGCCCAATTGCAAGACACGATGACAAGTTGCTCCATAGACTTCTATTGAATTCATGGTATAGGGCGCATCTACGTAATACTGGGAAAAGTAGAAAGTAATTGGAAATGACCAGGTGGGATGATTCAGTTAAGAAAATCAGTTTGCAAGACCTGAGTGGAACAGTTGATGTCTTGGGGAATCTCTCATTCATAGGGTTACGAAATAACAAAACAAAAATGGAAAATCTTACTTCTCCCTCATCTATTTTACCTTGATCACATCTCTTTTGACTGCTCCAACACATTTAACACTGAAGAATTAATGCAGTTTGTCATTGCTAATTTTTGTGTGTGTGTCAGGAGTGACTTGAGAAACTGCAAGGAGCTCCCGGTGGCACAATGGGTTAAAACCTTGTGCCAGCAGGACTGCTGACTGATAGGTCAGTGGTTTGAATCCGGGGAGAGCGGGTTGAGCTCCTTCTGTCAACTCCAGCTCCCCATGTGGAGACATGAGAGAAGCCTCCCATAAGGATGGTAAAAATATCAAACACATCCAGGCGCCCCTTGGGCAATGTCCTTGCAGACAGCCAATTCTCTCACACCAGAAGTGACAGTACTAACTGCCATGGCTTGAATGCTGTAGAATT